TGCAGCTCTGGAACTTAAACTGACTTCGGAAAATCCTCCCACTTACAAACCAAGCATCAATAACTCAAACTCTACTTTGGAACCTTCTCAGAGTTCCAAATCGGACAAACCAAAAATTGTGTGTCATAAGTGTGGATATGTAAACCATTTTGTCTAAGATTGCCTGGCTGATGCTCCGCAGAAACCAAAAATCAAGGATTCTACTTACTACGTCCTAAAATCCCAAGAGATGGATGAAAGCTAAAAAGCCTTTGTAACAACGGTTTTGAGAGATGTTGAAGGATATTGGTCATCCGTGGATGATGATGACATGGTAAGTGGAAAAAATATGTGTTTGATGGCAAGACAAACAATTAAATGTGATGAAGGGTATTGGTCATCTGGGTCAGAAGATGAAGATGATGTTACTGAACCTCACTATTGCTACATGGCCACCAATGATCCACCTGGTTAAAGCATCGTTCAGCATGTAAAATCTACGATCTCTGATAATAATTTTGATTTGTCTCTCTGTGAACCTTATCTAACCCATATTCAAACAGATATGAGCACCATCTATAAAGCCTATGAGTCTTCCATAGAAGCAAGTGAGAAGAAGGAGTGTGAGTTAAATCGTCTTAGGTTACGTTTCGAGGATAAAAAAAATTGAAAATCGAGTCTTTAGAACGTGAACTTGTAATGTCAAATGATGAATGTATCATTTTAGAAGACACATGTGAAATCACCTATTCTTAACGAAATGTTTTGATTTCTGATAACAAATGTCTCAATGCTAAGATAGATGCTTTGCATAATTCCATAGACATGCTTGAAGCGAACGTCTGGATGACTCATAATTTTCGTCATCCATGGTCTAAAGCACCTGGTCTCGAAAGCAAGTTTCCAAAACCAATTGGTCGTCCCTTAAAGGAACTGCAAAATTTGACATTCATGGGAGAGGTTCCAAACATCAAACATTCGGACACCCTTGTTTCTCCCTTGTCACCACTTCATGAGACCACATACCATTTTGAGTCCTTAATTCCTGAGTTCCAACCAATTGTTGTCAAATGTCCCGATTCCACGCCTCTTCCGCCTCTGATAAACCTGGACCTGAATCAAACAATTGAATTTCATCACAGTGTTTCAAATTGCATAAATTACATTCCTAGAAATAATCATCCAAACAACTGTGTTGTTGAATAAATCATTCCGGTGACAACTGAAACTGTTACCTCTGAGTTTACTTGGGCACCTTTAGATGATAAAGTTGAAAATTCAAGTTGTTTCTCCTCTGATTCTTGCGAATCGGATTCCTTAGTCATCTCAAAAACGAAATTGGTTCCCATTAATCCTGAGTTTCATAATCCATCCGTAGGACAAACTTCAAAATCCTCATCATAAAAATGAAGTTAACACTAGACAAAATTCCAAGTTCATTGAAAACTCCAAAAAAGAGTGTATCCCGGAATTCTCATGCATCAACCCATAGTCAAAACTCCTTTATTCTCACTAAGATCCTCAAAAGACCTTCTGAATCTCTCGTTCATGTAGAACTCAAGAAAGTAATTAGTTGTACTTAGCCAAAGTCTCGTGGGAATGCCATGATTGTCCAAAACACTTCTCCTCGCACTGTTTTATCTGTTTTTATTGCTAAATCTGATGGCACAATTTTTAAACCCAATATTTCAAAAACCAATGTGTCATCATTCAAATCCACAAATACAAAGAAAACAAATTTCTCAAAATCCTCAAAGAAAAATCTTGTGTGGAAAGTCAAATCTCTCATTGATGAAACAACAATTCTGGACATTACAACTGTTTCCAACACTCCGAAAGTCAAAGGTCCGAAGAAGCATGTTCGCAACCCTTAAGTCATTGAATATGACTACTAGATAGATGAAAAGACATCAGTCTTCTGTCTATTTCCAAAGAACTCAAAATGTACCACCAGGAAACACAAAGTTGTTCCTAAGTCACAATCAAAGTCCAAAGACCATGCTTATGTCTCCAAATCCAATCCATAGCCTAAAAACTCCATTACTCACTTATTTTGCAGGCACTTTGTGCTTTGGAGCAAGAAACAATACGGTATATTGATAGTGCTTGCTCCATGCACATGACGGGGTAGAAATAATTTCTGCGAGATCTAAAGCTTTCTCCGAACGTTGGTTACGTGACATATGGCAACAACTCCAACTCCCAAATTCGTGGTTATGGAATTCTCACCAATGGAAATTGCTCTATCTCAAATGTGGCTTATGTAGCTGATCTGAAACATAATTTGATAAGTGTTGCTTAGCTCACTGATTCAAATCGACATGTGGAATTTTGCAAAAAGTACAACTATGTAATGATTGAAGACCAGAAAGAGTGTTTAATCAAGTCGATTTGCAACAAGAACATGTATCCACTCGACATCAACATGATTATTGGCAAACTGCAACTCCTCCTTCTCACCAAAGTTGTTCCTGACATCAGTTGGTTATGGCACCGAAGGCTCGCTCATCTAAACTTTCGGTACATAAATGATCCAATATTCGTCGAAATGGTGAGAGGTCTGCCACTCCTCAAATTCAAAAATGATCACTTATGTGCTGCATGTGAGTGTGGTAAGCAGTCAAAGAAAGGTCATCCAGTCATCATTGAAAAATCAATCTCCAAGCCCTTAGAACTTCTACACATTGATCTATGTGGACCATCAAGAGTTGAAAGTTTACATCACAAGAAGTACATTCTTGTGATTGTGGATGATTTCACTAGGTTCACTTGGGTTTTCTTCCTCGGGCTAAAGTCAGAAACGGCCTCCGAGCTCATAAATTTCATCAAAGGAATAAGAGTTCTTACCAAACTCCCAGTAAGGCGAATCTGAAGTGAAAATGGTTCGGAATTCACAAACTCCACCATTGAAAATTTCCTTGCCGAGAAAGGCATTGACCACAATTTTTGTGCTCCATACACTCACTACTAGAAAAAAAGCCTTTTACGACGCTCATTGCGCATCGTAAAAGGCTCAAACGACACGCAAATGCGCGTCAAGGAAGGCCCTGTCATAAAGAGAGACGACGCGCTTTTGCGCGTCGTCAATAGACGACGCTCATTTACGACGCGCAATTACGACGCACGTTTACGACACGCAATGCGTATCAAGGAAGACCCTGTCATAAAAGAAGACGACACTCATACACCTGTCGTAACCTTACGACGCGCGAGTTAATGACACGCAATGCGTATCAAGAAAGCCCCTGTCAAGAAAGACCATGTCATAAATGAAGATGACACACATTTTTGCATATCATAATTTTAAATGTTTAAAAAAAATATTTATAGATTTACTAATTTTCAAATTAAATTTTTATTTAATGCCTCATAATAGAAAATAAAATATCATATACAAAAAATACAATCCATTGCATAAATTTTAATTTCATACAAATAATCGTTCCATGGACAAAAAACAACAACCAGTCAATACTAGTATCAGAACATAAAGACTCAGCATAAAGCACCTTTCTGCACAAAAATACAATCCATTGTTGTAAGCAAGTGTGTATTGAAGCACCTTCCATGTAGTAGTACCCCCTTGACCAATACTAGTATCAGAACATAAAGCACCTTTCTGCACAAAAAACAACAATCAGTCAACAAAGACTCAACATTCTTTAAAATACTATATGAAACAAAGAGTCAACAAAGACTCAACATTCTTTAAAATACTATATGAAACAAAGAGTCAACAAAGACTCAACATTCTTTAAAATACTATATGAAACAAAGACTCAACAAAGACTCAACATTCTTTAAAATACTATATGAAACAAAGAGTCAACAAAGACTCAACATATAAGTACATATCTAGAGTAACAAATTAGATTAGTTAATCTCATAATTCTTCAGAAGGCTACTTCAAGTATCTATTTTGCTCAAATCTTCAGAAGGCTAATTCAAGTATATATAGCATAGAAGATTAAGTTGTGTCCCCTTTATGTCCATTAAGTTAAAAAGAAGCAGCATGTAAGTAAGGATTACTAACATTTTTATTAAATAGGTGGATCACAAAGACCTTGTACATTAAGGTTGTGTTTGTTACACATGACATGGTTGACAGGAGTCCAAGTCCCAACTTTCGAAGTAGGACAAAAAGCGAACCACATTTTCATATAGCAATTTGAAGTCTCTGGACATTTCATTAGCCAACTTAAACACATTAGCTGGAATTATGGAAGTACTTATTCTACTCAAATTGTCATCACCTCTGTCAAAACAAATTTTACATGATCAATTCAGTTTACCTAGTAAAAACTATTTTTTTTGAAATAGAAAATAGAAAAAGTCATAACAATGTTTACATGTTCTTTGATTCGTGAACAAGGGTCATGGCTCACCATAATATATTGCAAATGCAACATAATAAGAACCCTTAAAATGACTAACCAGTGAGTACATGCTACCAGAACCAAAACCTGCCACCATACTACAATTATGTACATAGATGAATAAGATTTAAAACCAAAAACACCATTTTTTTTGTCTCCAATTGACTAAAGAAATAGACTGAAAACTCTAACCATTAATGGATTCATTTACTATAAGCTTACCTTGCGTGGAAACTCTCCTATCATCACCATGAACCATCACCATCACTCCTATCAATAAAAAACAAAAAATGCACTTAGACAACAAAACTCAAAGAAATAGCAATCTACTTTCTTTTAAATCTTTAGCAATTTCATATAAATACAGAGCAATTTTTGTTGGTATAACAAGAAAAGAGATTGAAAGTAAGAAAATTATTGTTCGAGTATTGTATGCCCAACACATTTTCAAACCATAACCTTTTCCCCCATTTCATCTTCAAATTTTATCTCAAACATTTTTGCAAAATTTTGTCCCAAGCAATGGGATGTTGCACCTTGTACAATTTATAAGATGAAATGACAATGAAACCGGCACAAAACCTAGTACATCATATAATTTTGGTAAGAGTCTCCCTTTGGGGTTCACAAGACCATGACCGGCTTCTAGAAGCATCCCAGAAAACTATGCTCTGATATAACAAAGTATAATGTAAAAATCACAACAGCAAAAATTTGAAAGAAAAAAATATATGACACTCCCAAATCCCACGTATTATCATCATAAAATTCCAACAAATTTTGTATCTCCACATATTCGAGACCAGCTTCTCTTTCCAGTCTGAAAAAATGTCATAAACAATAATTAGGAAAAGTTTTAGTAAAAATAAGAGTTATCACCATATAAAAGATGAAATGAAATGCCAAAATCTTAACCTGATCAAGGTGGGGAAATGTACCAGACAATGTGTTTCAGCAGACGTGTCATTTGCAGTTTTCATCTGGTATTTTTCCCAAAAAAAAGGAAACCTGAAAATTTAAACCATATAATAAAGAAAAGTTCAGAAGTTTGATTACATTTTATAAGACAATACAACATGTTGGGTGTTTCTATTATACTTTTCTTCTTCAACTTCAAAAGTGATCATATGGTTTTCTGATCGAATGGAATTGGGAACAAGGTTGGGTTTCATGGTGCCACTTTGGTTGTGGTATGCTTCAATATTTTTCTGATACTTTGCCCTACAATGCAATCCAATTATTAAAAATGAAAGCAAGAAAATGATGCTATAAATAAATTCTTAGAAAATGACTCCCAAAAACATGATAGCCTGCCATATAGTAGAAGAGTCTAGAATAATACCGATTAAGTAACCCCCTAGTTTCAATAAAAATGACACATTATGCAGAAGTCCTCTTACTTTCTCTTCACTTTCAAAACAGAACTGCAGTATATAACAGAAGTTTACTTTATATGTTCAATATGAGAAGGAGAGTTCAATATTAACACAAACAATGGAGTTTAACATGCAAATAATGTAATAAGTTATAATACTTGACGGGGGAAAAAAAGTCATTTAATATTTTCAAATATTATTAGTAAGTACCTCTAACACTGGTGGTATAAAGTCCACCATCAAACATGATCTTGCATTTTTTTTCAATTTCACCACAGGGACAAACAAGTATTCTTCATATAGCCACCTATACAGTTCAAGAGTTTCGACAACCTAAAAATAAATACATCATTAAAATATTTTATCGATTTATCCAGTAAACTAACCTATTTTAACAATCAACAACAAGTATACTAATATTGATACGATAGTTGACTACATATTAACCTATTTTATCAATTTAGTATATAATAATACTATAATACTGTAATATACTAAAGTAGAACGTAAATTTTTTTACCAGTTTATGGATATAGACAACTAGATTATATTCAAAAATAGTTTATTAATGGTTAATCACAATAGGAAATACTATTTTATCAATATCAGTATAAAAATACAATAAAGTGTAACATAGATAGTTTTTTATTCCTTAAATTTATAATTGTACCTTAGCGTCTGCCTCCTCCTTTGATGCAAAGGTAGTGTGTCCTTCTTGCCAAAGAAACTCACAGATCCTAGAATAAGAACAGTTTATTATCATATCAAGAAATAGACAATCAAGATAAAAAATCATGTCATGTGATGAATTATGAATAAGAAAGCAAAGAAGCTATCTGATAAATGGAGTAGGATTACTAAACTCCCATCAAACAACATTACACCATTGGTTAAGTTTCTAGGGCAAGTCATGGTGTCCCCTGATCATTTTGAGAAATACGGATACATCACAGTTTCACTTGTTGGTCTAATTGCAATTGGAACTTCCAATTCAGAATCCCCTGATCTCGTCAACCATGTAACCTGAAAGGGGAATAAGGAGGGCATTCATCTCTTCAAGAGAATAAACAACATGAGATAATGTATCAATGATGCATGTTTTAGTCCTTCCACCAGATGAATCAAGAAAAAGACTAGTTAATTTGCTATCCGTGGATTACCTAAATAGTAAAACCAAAAACTCAAAATCTTGAACCCATGAATGTTAAGTGTAAATTCTGTATTTAGATGAACAAACACAAGAACATAATCAAAATCTGAGACATGTAGACATCAAAACAATTATGCACCAAAAATCTATGTGACCACCAAAGCTTAGAGTTATAACTAAGTATGTATGTCTTATGAAAAAGGAGGTACCTGGTGAGGTTTAACAGACGTTGTATAATGGAGTATCTGGTTAAGTTTCTAGGGCAAGTCAAAGCCTCTCTAATACCATGATAAAAAGTGTATTTTTGTATGTCATTTCTCATCAATTCATAACAGGAAGGAAATACTTTATACAAGAGCATAAGAAGCTAAAAAAGGACAGAGGCTAATCTACTCCTATAATCAAGGAATTTACATAAAAGAATTTATTCCAAAAATACCCTCATGACAGCTCATGCCAACATGTGTGTGGTGTGGTGGGTTACTTCATCTTCAACAGAGCAACCAAATGCAAACACTGTTAATATATATATATATATATATATATATATATATATATATATATATATATATATATATATATATATATATATATATACACACACACACACACACACCCCGTTTTGTGAAAAAGGAAGTAGCCTTGTTTTGTTTTAATCTTACAAATATACAAGTGTATTTCCATAGTTGAGATAAAAACTCTTTGAAAGAAGCACATGATAAACAACATCAATGACCAATATAATACCTCAAATAATTTCCAAGTTAAGCGTAAGAAGTTTGAAATTGCAGATCTGTTGAAGCAGAGAAACTATTTTATCAAACAAACATGGAAAATCCAATTGAAGAAAAATAGTCCAAAGTTGTGGAAGCAGAACCATAGTAAATCTATGTGCCTTCAGAGAGCAAGATCACTTTATCAAACATGTGGTAGATCCGACTCTTGAACCTTCAATTTTGACTTTATAAACAACCTCTTCAAACTGAAAAGAATGACAAAATCACCATGAAAAACATTTATATAATTAAATCAAAAAAATTAACGGGTGGGGATGTAAAAAGACCTTTAATGTTATGGAAGATAAAGATGATTCGAATGAAATTAAAACACAAAATCGAAGAAATCCCAGTAAGATGTAACTCAAAAAATTAAGAACCCTAACCTTAAACTCTTACCAAACGAGTCCAGGATGTCGGTGACGGGAAGGAAGAAAAGGACATTGGAAAGGAGAAAGAAGGTTTGACGCCGGCGAGGGTGGAGGAAGCAGTGGCGACGGCGACGAGGAGAAGGAAGATTGACCGCAGCGACCGGGAAGGGAGCCAGTGATGTCTTTGACCAGAGTATCTGAAGAGCTTGTATCTTTGTGGAAAATAAAGCGATTAACAGGAAAAATTCCAGGAAACATGCGCAGATCGAGCAAGAACAAACTCGGTAATCAAGTAAAAACAAAAGAACTCACTAATTTGGAAAGAGATAAATCTTGAAGCTCTTACCATATGAAGATATAGAAAAGATGAGTGAAGGAGGTCGATTTTGCAGAGTTATAAGATCGCTTGTGGTAGGGAGGCAATGAATGGATGAAACAAGCGCTAACAAATCCAGAACCGAGCTGCGTGTGGTGATGATGGAGCGTAGCCACGATTTGAGGTTCGGGAGTGGTGCTTCTAGACAAAGAAACACCGAGTGTAGATGCATAAGTAAGAGAAGCTGATGACATTCGTGAGGATGGTTTGGGCTCGAAACATAAAGCTTACATGGAAACCAGATCTTGGTGAAGACTAAAATATGCAAATAAATAGTGTGTTTGTTGCCCCTTACGTGTTTTGAACCAGGAAAGAGGGGTGAGATGGAAATACGAGAGTGAAATAGAAAAAATTAGGGTCGGATTTAGGAACCCTAAATCATCGGCTCAAACTGATAACTGGGAGGAAAGAACCCTAAATCCTTAGCTCATTAGGGTCGAATTAAGAGTGTAAGAAATTGTTGGAACCGAGAAGTAGGTTTTTGGTGGAGGTGATGGATCGAGGAATTGAGGAAGCTATGGATGAAGACAAAGGCCCAAATTCGAAGAGGCGGGGAATTTTTGGATGAATAGGCAGTGGTTAATTTTTTGGATTTCATTTCCCCCCCCCCCCCTAAAAACGCGTGTTTCCTAAAAAAAATATAAAGCGACATAGTTACACGACGCACATTTTTTGATAGGTGCCCTCCGTATTTTTTTCTGACACTAATTTTAGGGGCACGCAAAAATGCGTGTTATCTATCCTTCACATTTTAGAAAAATAACATTAATTTTTAGGGCACGCACATATGCGCGACCTCTATCAGTGTGTGTCATTAATTGCACGTCGTAAAAGGCTATTTTTATAGTAGTGACTCCTCAACAACACGGTGTGGTCGAACAAAGAAATAGAACTCTAGTTGAAGCTGCTCGATCAATGCTGAATTTTGCAAATCTTCATCTCTATCTCTGGGCTGAAGCCGTTTCCACTGCATGTTTCACTCAGAATAGAAGTATCATCAATCGACGCCTCAACAACACACCGTACGAAGCCATGAATGGACGGAAGCCAACAATCTCGTTTCTTCATGTTTTCGGATGCAAATGATTTACCAAGAATAACCGTGATCCGCTTACCAAATTCCACCCCAATAATGATGAAGTTATTTTCCTTGGATATTCCTCAAAATCACAGGCTTACCGAGTCCTCAATCCACGTACTCGAGTTATTGAAGAAAGTTTTGACATTACTTTCGATGACAACTTCATTTGGTATTCTAGCCCAACCCATATTACAAATCACATTATGGAGTCCGATGCTCCTACGCTAGGATGTCCGAACCCGCAAACAATTCTTGAAGTTGACTTTGAAACTCTCTTTGGACCTTCCGAAACAGCCCTTGATTCGGAATCTCTAACAAGGCCAACTCCCAATCCAATCTCTCCTTCAGAAGCCCCTGTCTCGCAAAACGTCTCTAGTCCAATTCCAAGCCTCCCTCCATTTGATATTGAACCATTTCAACCTTCTCAGGTTGAGGGGGAGAATGATCATCCATCTCTTGAATCAAATGTGGATGGCCCCCAAGATACAGCTGCTGATTTCGATGACTCCATACCTATCAACATTGATGAAAATGAAATTTTATTTAAGTTCCCTTCTAATGATGATGTTAATCTCTCTCGTTCAGAAGTTCATGGGGAGCATCATCCTCACATTCAAACCATTCAGGGGGATCAAACCAATTCCACTTTTGATATCGGATCGACGGTTGCACAAGAACTCCCAAGGTTACACGTCTATACAAAGGATCATCCTCCCAACCAAGTAATCAGAAATCCTAATGATGGTGTACAGACTCATTTTGCTACAAGTATTCAAAATGAATGTCATTTTGTAGCATTTATATCCATGGTTGAACCCAAATCCATCAAAGAAGCATTAGAGCATGCTGATGGGATTACACCCATGCAAGAAGAACTGGCAGAATTTGACCGTAATGAAGTTTGGACTCTCGTGCCTCCTCCTCAGAATCATCCCATTGTCGGTACGAGATGGGTATTTGGCAACAAGCTAGATGATGCAGGAGTTACTATTCGAAATAAAGCAAGACTGGTGGCAAAAGGATTTACACAGATTGAAGGGTTCAACTACGATGAGACATTTGCTCATGTTACATGTCTTAAAGCCATCAAAATCTTTTTTGCTTATGCTTCTCACAAAGGCTTCAAAGTTTACCAAATGGATGTTAAGAGTGATTTTCTTAATGGTGAACTCGACACTGAAGTATACCTTTAAAAACCTCCCGGTTTTGTTAATCTCTCCCTTCCAAACTACTGTTACAAACTCCGGAAGGCAGTCTACAGACTCAAGCAGGCTCCTCGGGCATGGTACGAGACTCTCACTGGTTTTCTCAAGCACTCCGGTTTCCAAAGAGGAATTCTACATCCTACCCTGTTCCAAAGATCAAATGGAAAGCATCACATGCTGGTTCAAATTTATGTGGATGACATCATTTTTGGATCTACGGATTCATCTTAGTTGCTGACTTCGCTAAACTAATGATCAATCGATTCCAAATGAGCATGAATCGGGAGTTAAGCTTATTTTTTGGCCTCCAAGTCAAGCAGACTAAAAGAGGAATCTTCATTCACCAAGATAAGCACATTTTGGCACTCCTCAAGAAATACTCAATGGACACTTGTGCCTTATCCAAGGTACCAATGGGCTTCGGACACAAGATCTTTGCCAACCCTTCAGGTGTTTCAGTTGATGAAAAGAAGTACCAAGGAATGATTGGATCATTGCTCTATCTCACAAAAAGTCATCTGGATATCATGTTTTCCACATGTTTGTGTGCCCGATTTCAAGTCAACCCAAAGATGTCTCATCTCTTGGCTGTGAAACAAGTTTTCTGATACCTCAAAGGTACAAAGAGTATCGGAATCTGGTACCCAGCAAATGAGAGCTTCCTACTTCAAGCCTATTCAGATTCAAACTATGGTGGTCTTCAACTTGATAGAAAAGCACTTCAGGTGGCTGTCAATTCTTAGGTGGTCGTTTGGTCAGTTGGTCATCCAAGAAACAGAACTACATTACACTCTCTACAACCGAACCGAATACATCGTTGCTGCTAGTTGTACATCTCAGGTTCTATGGATGAAATCTCGACTCTTTTATTATGGTTACTTCTTTCAACACATTCCCATCTATTGTGATTCTCAAAGTGCCATTGCGATTTCCCACAATCCAATTCAGCACTCAATGACGCAGCACATTGATATAAGGTACCATTTCATAAAAGATCAAGTTCTAAATAGTAACATTGAACTCATTTTTGTTGCATCTGACGATGAGATTGCTGATGTCTTTACTAGGGCATTAGACGAAACCAAATTCAATGGTTTTCTGAACAAGATGGGTATGATGATGCCAGATCCTCAGTTCTTTCAAGAGACTTGTTCTCTTTGATAGACGTATTCGAAAGAAATTTAATTCTGATCTCAAAAACTTTTTTCGTCTTGGAACTACTTTCTCTCGAAATCCATACGATCATTTCACTTGTCTTTATTTCTGACCATGACTTGAGTTTTAAGTTGTACAATTCATCCTGATTATTTGTTATTCAAAGTCCACGTAGTCATAGCGCTCGAATTTTCATCTCAAAATATACTTCATAATGGCATTATGGAATTCCACTAAGGAATAGTACTGCAGTCTGCACTTCGGAATTTCAAAATTCACTCTAAAGGTTTTCTCAAATCTCACTCCGAAATGCTTTCAAAATCATATTCCGAAAACTTTTTCAAATTCACTCAGGAAATTCTTAAAAATCATTATTGCGGAATTTTTGCTCCGGAATCACAAACTTTTTCCGAAATAGCACTAAATTTTTTACTCCGGAATCGAAACTCTCTCTGAATTATTTCCCATTCCGGACCATTTTTCAAAACAACCATGTTCCGGAGCACAACTCTTTATCCTCCGGATCATACACTGTCCGGAACCGCTCATCCGGAATTCCGATGGATTATAAGGCGAAACGTTTTTTTCAACGGTTACGTTGTAAGGATCCTTATCCCATCTTCCTTGATTTCCGTACCACGACTGCACGACTTCGAAAGTAACCATCCAATCACAGTTTGGAATTTCCATTTCTGGCTTAAAACAACCCTCGTTTTCCCTTCCTAAGTCATATCACCCCCCAAAAAGCCGTTTTTCAATTAATGCGCCCGTTTCGAATTCGGAACCTCATCATTACCATTCCTAAATCGACCCATTTCCCTTACCTATAATTACCCACATATAACCCTTTTTACCTCTTTATGTGCCTAAACCTTCTAAAACCCTTAAATTATCTATGTGTTCATTGTGCTCTTCAATCTCTCATATTTCTGCAGCAATGGCTACCCAATCACCGGAACCTTTTCTCAGAGACACAACACAGTTATTCTTGCTAAACCTTATGGATTACGATGAATCCATTAGAGTTATGATTGAATTCCTTGCCAACCATCTCATCTTCATTCCTCTCATAAAAGTTCCTGAACCACCTCTTCCACTTCATCACATTCACAGAGCTTTTACCAGAATCAAGGAGGACGACGGTGTTCTTGAAATCAAAATCATCGGCGATTGAATTGTCCCAATTTATAAATCCACCTTCTTAAAGGCGATAGGTGTTAAAGAAAACCCCTTGGACTTCACTGTTCAAGAACCAACTACTGAGGAATTCCAAATGTTCTTTAATCACATTGGGTACAATCGGGACTACAAGGCTAAAGACTTCGAGAAATTAGCTGTTTTCGAACTCTCGACCGTGCTAATGCATCTGATCATTAGAGGGTTATCCGAAAAGCATGGAGGTACGGATACACTAAGCAAGGACTAGCTCTATGTTGTTTACAACATTTACTCCGGACATGATAATTTCGTGGATCTTCCGGAGGTACTATGGCAAGACTTCTGCAAGTTTGCCCTCAAAAGGAAGGAGAATGAAATCTCAAGTCCTAGGTTTTGGGCTCTTACTCAGCAACAACTCTTCAAAGAGATTTCCGAACCATTTCCATGTGCTATGATTCCTCTGGAGGTATGTATATCCTTCAAAACTGTAAGTCCTACAGAATTTCGGACCAATCTGCTTTTGGTCCTGTCCAAAGGTTGCCACAACACATGTTGGACATTATTCCTTCCGAATCTCCTAATTTTCAAAAACATT